GGAATGCATTTAGATTTTGTGTTTATTGAACTATATATTTCTTTTGTTATATTTTGCGTAACCATTGATGGATATAGGAGGATCCTCTCTATTCATTTTACCAGCATCTTAGGTGTGATTTAACAGCAATAAGTGATGATTCTGAGGAATTTGCCATGGTATGTTTTGGTTTCTTGTAAATATGGCTTGAAGGTGAGAATCTATATTCACTTTTTAATCACCTCTTAATCAGATTGCTGAGTATATATAGAGAATACCAGAGACAAGAGGAACCATGCGCAAAGACCCGAAATCGCTCAAGTATTCAAAACAACATTAATTAAGAACTAATCTACCTGATGATTTTAGTAAGGTACTATGGTCGACAAAGAAAATGTCATATATCTCTTAACATATTATGATTCTACATATACTTTGTCTGGCTTGTTTTCGCAAACGAAGAACAGGATGTTGCTATAGCACGGGTCACGCCTTACTAATTGGGCTAGCATTTTATCAAAAGGTGGTAGCATTCACATATATAGCTTAGTGTAATTAATATAATACAAGTCGATTAGTAATTAATTAAAAAATAAAAAGAATTTGTATATATCAATCCTGATCAGGTCTTCAAATTGCACCTCCTGAAGCTCAACAATATTGTGGTTATAGATATGTTTGGAAGTGCACCTCCCGAACCTATTAGCCAAGGTTCTACTGGGTAAATATTGTGTTGATGCACCATTTCTAGAATGCTCTGTCCCAACAAATGCATCARATGGGTGGAAGAGCTTGATAAGTGGCAGAGAGTTASTTAAATCTCAACTAGGCTGGACTATTGGAGATGGAAAAGAAATTAACCTGTGGAGCGAAGCCTGGCTGTCTCACAAAGAGCTAATTCAACTAATCGGACCCATTCCAGAAGGCCAACATGATCTCAAGGTGAGTGATCTTCTTCACCCCCAAACGGGTACCTGGAATGTGGAAAGAATTGATCAGATCTTGCCACACTATAAACATCTAATCCTTAAGCTAAGACCTAGTATGTTGGGGGCTAAGGACAAGAGAATATGGGTACGAAATTCCTCTGGTGACT